ATCAGCAGCTTACAATCAATTCTCCTACCCCGAATTAACGTTGATGCTGAACTGTGTTAATCCCAAGAAGACAGGTATACCTGATGGTCCTCAACCGCTAAAAGAATGCACTGTGACGTCTGCTCCCGTGGTTTTGAATACATGGATGTATATAAATATATATATATATATATATATATATATATATATATATATATATATATATATAACATCAGCGGTGGTTCGCTAATTCTGGTACCACTGTAAATAGCTCTGAATGTTTCGCACATCTCTGAACATTATAACATTTTTGTTTCCCCTCTGATCCAATGAGGACTTCATTTTCATATTCCCAAACTTCACTTTAGAATTTAAAAGATCGTTATCTAAACATCTTTGTATCCGAGTTTCCCCCGTTTCGCATTATTTTTTCACCTGTTATCTATCCAACTATTTCAAGATTTATATCGACGTGGACTAATCACTACTACTCATGTGTTTTCAATCTCACTCGAGTTGTGTGAACATCATTTAAATGCGCCTGAAAAATTTGCATGAAGTATTATGGATCATACTCATCCACTGCACACAGATTTTATTCCTAGTCGTTACCATTTACCTACTAGATCACAATGACGTTGGGTCTCCTATCGCATAAAGAGACATCGCAAAACCCCAACACCTTCATGAGTACATCTTCTGGTTAAAAGAGAACACGTCTTTCATATATTTTTTCACGAAATTTGACCAATTTTCTCTAATATGAATAGGTTCGACTGAAACATAGGCGCTACAATAATAGAAATCATGAATGCAGTCACAAGGGGTCATGGTTCGAATGCAACCGGCGGAATGTAGTGTGGACCATTTACCATGATACTTGTACTGAAGCTGGCAGAGTCATGTATTTATATGTATGGTGAGGTTGAATCCATACCGAACGGAATCAGAGTTCCATGCCCACTAACTGACAAATGATTAAAATGCATAAAATCAGAATTTGCAACAACAGCTCGATCGTGGTTGTGGTCTGATCGAATTGTGCGCTCCGCCACAAATTTTAAGCGGTGTCTAGATGCGGTTTCCAAAGCCCAATGTTTTTCAAGGTAACCTGATCACGACCAGTGTAAACAACTGACTGAACAATTTGCACTATTCGTGGTGGCGGTTCTTTACAACTCCACTATCAATCCACCACAGGGAGTCATGTATTGTCCCGTTCGATAGGGGAAGAATGGACAAAATATGCCCAACATCCGATGTCACGGAAAACGCAAGGTATCAATCGAGCAAGAGGTATAAGCGATTATTTGGCAGTTTCAGGAAGGGCTTACAATTGCGGTGGGTCTGTTGTTACTGTATATTAACTCGTAACAAACGTCTGAGGAAGCAATTAGATGTGAATAATTCCTTCAATGATTTTGCTTGAATTACCTTATCTTAACTTCCCCCATAGTATACGATACCCGTAAGAAATAAATTCCATGCGTAAAAACTGACTACTGGTAAGCGATCAGTTGATAGATACGGTTTTTCCATATTCGTACTACCATTTATGCCAGGAATTGTACATTAATTCAAGCATTCTGACCTGGGAAAGCATTTTGGAACGTCACTGTCCTTGGTAGGCTGCCATACCCTAGTGCTTTCAACCAATGAGCTGGAGTAGTTTGGACCCAAGCCTAGAAAAACAGGATACAACTACCGTTACTTATCCCTTGGTGCGCCTCCGCATGCCTCGTCTCCACGTTATTCGTTGATCTACACAGGATATCCCGATGCCTGGAACGATAAACAAAGCGCCACACAGTGAACGACTGCTATACATGAACAAAAAATGTCCTAATAGCAAAAAAACATTAATCTGAGTTCGGTGTAGTATTGGAGTTCCCGTCAAATAATCTTCACATACACGGCGGTTCACCTCAGCGTTGCTAACCTACTCGCTCCAACCCGCCCGCCCAAAATAACAGGATTTAATCCCAACTTTAATAATGCTTTGAATATTCATGCTCCCTTGATGGTCAGGCTTCGGTTGCGAATTCCCCAAGAAAATTCATCTGTTTCGACCTGGGCAGTGTTTCACCCACTAATAAATAATGAACCCTTGTTCATAAAGATTATTGTAACGTGATTTGTGTAGATTCGAACAGATGTGTGAAATATACACAATTTTTCATGATCATTCTGTGGTAAAAGTGCTCCAATAAAATATAATAGAGTAATAAACTAACCAGTAAACTGACTGTTGACGGCAATCTTATCCGCCCAACCGGTGGAATGTTCCTCAATAAAATCGATGAACAGACGATAAATCTTCTTCAGACGACTCTTGCGGTCGGTCAGTAACAAATCTGGGAAGTGACAGTAGAAAAGAGTCTATGCGAATGAATGGAACGTGATCATACGCTTACGTTGAATCCGGCTAGATGTAATAAGGGTAAAGGAGCAGAAATCTGGTCCACTACAACAACGTCCGTCTTCTTGTCACAGGTAAAAATCAAATAGAATGCAGCTAACAGAAGACGCACATAGGCGCATAAGGCCAGACAGCGACCAAACACCGATCTAGGAAACCAACTAGCAACCGGTGTAACATTTAATTCGCTTTTCCGTGTCTCCTCAAAAGCATGACTGGGATCGTGATGATTTGTAATTATTTTGACTTGGTAACCGGATTGATTGACAGCGACCGCCGCGTCCACTATCAAGCGTTCGGCCCCACCGATTCCCAAATCGGGATGTAGAAAAACAATACGTTCAGCCATTATTGATATAAATGAATTGGGTATACTACGTGGATACCCTGAAATGAGAGGGATAGATTGCGAAAATAATAATAATAATAATAAACAATCAAGATTACAGTTTGTTTTTTTTAATTTGGCTCTCATCAATCGATGTGTTACATATAATATGCACAGGTGTGTTAGCTCTCATGATCAGCTCCAGTAAAGCAGTAGTTAACGGATTGGTCTATTACACACATTTGTGTCAAGATCTGCAGCCGAGGTGGACCTCACAGTTCCGCGGACCCGTTATTCGGTGATGGAAACCGGTAGCCTAAGACCTGGGACTTGTAGTGGTAAACCACATGAGGCCTCGCTAGGATAGGTATGGTGCTTAACCGAAACAAAGCTGGCTACCCCCAGAGTTGGGTGGCGGTGGTGGGTTCGAAACCCGGATCATAGGGTCCAAGACAAGCCGAAAACATCGACTAAACCACTGTGCGACAAATGAATGAGTAATGATAAAGAAAAGAGATAATGTGCCACCACACCGTACCAGTTGCTGAAACCTTGACCGGTGTACGGATATCAGGTTACTGTTACGTGTGATCATTCCTAGAGATAGTTCGTTAGCTAAACGCCAAAACTAGCATTTTGAGTGCACACCTTAATGTGATGAATGACATCCCAGCGACGATGATACACTACTCAGTTATGGGATGGCCGTCGAACTGGGAGTAGAGAAATACATTAGACCTTGGATACATAGACCTGCTACTAACCAGAACTACACTGATAAGTCAGCTCCCAGTGCACATTTTATAAAACAGATACTCATCATTATCATCGTACAGCGAGATACAGTGAAGCGAACTTCACTGATCACTGCCAAGCTCACAATGTACACAAATTAGGTGATAAAGCACAAGATAAAGAGGAATTGCGCCTAACTGGAAGGAGGCAAAGAAAGCGAACCTCTATGGTCAACAGGCAGAGTACATAATCGAACTCTGCACACAAAATTTCAAGCATTCTGACTCGATAAGAAATGACAAGAACACCACTGCTGACGGTTTGCGGCTATATCCTTCCGTGTCTCAAACCAGCCATTTACAGAGGCTTTTGGACCCCAACCGGGAAGACGGGAGACACCGATTTTACCTAGTCGCTTTGTGCATTTATTTAAGCCTTGTTTCCACATCACCTGTTCACCTCCACGTGGTTTCTTCCAACCCGGAGCCGCAACTGCGAATAAGGGGCGGTGCGGCAGACGACGACTCGGCATTAGCAATACGTATTCTAACCAGCGAAGCCGACTGATCTGAATTCGATGGGACAACGAATTCTCCATCGAATCAGTACTAAATACGCGACAAATTAACTCACAGCTGCTTACAAGCTGGCTCCATCCAAACCGCGCCAAACTAAGTAAACATCGGCATTCGAATACTTCTAGACGATGAATATCTTCCACGCGAAAATTTAGGGTCTCGTAACCATAGAGCAGAACTGATCGCACACTGGCGCAGTATACGCGACCTTTCGGTTTCAACGAAAAATAGCGTCTGCAACAAAGGTGTTTCAGTCCTGCGTAAGCTGCTCGAGCCCTGGAAATGCGGGCGGCTACATCATTGACTATGCTACCTTCATTTGAAACGCTGCTACCTAAGTAGATGAAACATTCCACTATAGATAATTCTTGACCATCAAGCATCAGTGCTGAGGAAGAGGACACTAAGTCTTGTAGCAGTAGTTAGCACTTTGAAGGTGCAAAGCGCATGCCGAAAGGAGATACAGAACTTGCTACTCTGTCAAGAGCACATTGCGCATCCTCCATGGATTCGAACGGGCATACAATGTCATCAGCGAACTCTAAATCGCACAGCTTTTCTCCAGCTGCCCGTTCAATACCGACGTTTTGGAGACCACTAAATGCGTTCTTCAGTACTTAGTCTACGACGGAGTTGAACAGGAATGGGAAAATAGGGCACCCTTGACGGACACCGCTCCTGGTTTCGAACGATTTACTTGGCCCACCGTGGACCCTTACGTTATCAGACGTATGCAGGTACAGCGATCACCCAACACACGCATCCATTCACAACAAATACGTAGTACGCATACAAGAAACCTGGTTAAATCAAAACGCTGAGGATGCTCTCGTGCAGATAGATGGATTCGACTGCTACCGGCAGGATAGATAACATGGCAGGAAGAAAACGAGGCAGTGTGGCAAAGTACATCAACACTTATTGGTGTAGCAAGTCTGAAATGGTATTCAGCTATTCTGAAAAATGCATTGACTGTTTATTCGTTCGTTGTCCTAGATTTTCCCGATATAAAAGTACAATTATTACTAATTTGTATATACCTACTTCGTGCTCCCAATCAGATATATCTTCTTTCTTTGATCATTACCTCCCGTTCTTGGTTCCAATATTAGATAAAAATCTTCATTTGGCTGTTGGTAACTTAAACCATGCAAGCATTTCCCCTCTGCTTTCTTTTGGCCTGTCCCATTTGTTTCATTCTCCTACCAGAGGCAGCTCTATACTTGACAGGGTAATCACAGACCATCTCACTTTGCTTCCTCTGAAACTCATGGTCCCGGTCGCTACCAGTGATCATTGTGTTCTCCTCTTAAGACTAAATATATACTCTCGCTCTGCATATCCAACATTCATACGATCAAACCAGATAAGGTTTCATCTCCGTAACTTTTAATCAACACGCATTTTTCTTCACTGCCTTTCCATAATGGTTGCCCAATCTTGATTTCCTTCTTGTTCATCACTTCTTAACTGTGTCGGTCTTTTCACCGAAACGATGGAATCGATCTTTAATGTTTGCTGTCCAACGGAAACGCTGGTTGTTTGCAACGGAAGAATTGCATCTCCCCTTTTGCTACGCAAGCAAAAAGGAACGATCCTATAAATCTCATCTATCTTCTGTAAAATACTATTTTAACTTAATTAAGGCTGAGGTAACATGGGTAAACAAGACGTTCGCTTCCCCAATGCCGCAAACGAGAAAAACAAGGCTTCTATGGCAAGGAATTCGCCTTCTCTGTGGACTAAAAAAGGAAAACGTGAACAGTGATGTTGATGTAAATAGTCTTAACGCAGCACTTCTTCATCCGTCTAACGATAACCAGATACCCTCTTTCCCATGAGGTTTCTAATTCCGATCTGTTCTCTTTTTCCAAAGTTGAAATTTTTAAGCTTATATGTTCCTTCAAACCATCGTCAACTGCGGGCCCTGATGGCCTTTCTCCACCGTCTCTCAAGTTTGGAGCAGCCCCTCTGACTAGCATGATGACATCTCTTATCAAACAGTCCCTTTCTTCACAGATAATTCCCGATTCCTGACGACCAGTGACCATAATACCTGTTCCGTAGACCTCATCTTCAACTGCTCTTGCAAAACGTTTTCGTTCCATCTCATTGACGTCTGTAATTCTCAAGTTGATTAAGAAAGCCATCCTGAGTCGCTTACAGTCACTGGTCACCGTTCCCCATGATCCCCTTCAGTTTGTTTATAAACCCAACAGATTCACTTTGGATGCTGTGTCTACTCTGGTTCATTTTTATCGACCAAATTTGTTCGTTTCGTTTTTTCTCGATTATTCGTCTGCTTTTGATTGTGTCCCGGCCATCCCTCCTTTTCAAGCTTGGATCTTTTGGCACCCCGAAACATCTGCTTTCGTGGCTTTCTGATTATTTTACCGTAAGAATCCAATGCATAAAGCTGGTCAGGAATACCTCGTGTCCTTTAGTCAACAATTCTGGTGTGCTTCAAGGTGATTTCCTCTCTCCGTATTTTTTCTCTGCTTTCATTAGCGATCCTTCAGTTCCCCACCCTGCTCATATCCAAAAGTATGCTGACGATGTCTTTTTATGTCAGGCTTTCTCTTCTTCAGAATTTTCCTCCACTGAAAATCTGTCCCGAATCGAACAGTTTTTAAACTATTCTGGCCTTAATCTTAATACGTCTAAGTGATTGGAGTGCATTTTTAGTTCTTCCCGCTCTACATTCCTGTCAGACTCTGTAAACCTTAAATGTAACCTTTTGTCTAGAGTAACTTCAGCCAAATATCTGGGAATTACTGTCAAT